CCCCCCCTGAACCGGGGCGGGAAACTTGCCCGGCCTGTTGCCGCCGTCCCGTCCCGCCGCCGTCCCGGGTCCCGCCACCGTCCCGTCCCGCCGGGGCAGCCTCGGGGGGGCAAAGGCGGCAAGTCGCGGGAGGATTTCTTCGGTGTAAAATAAGGAGCAGAGCGGAGGCACATGCCAGCGGGCAATGCTTCTTTCAAAGCAAGAGTTTTCCCATTCCTGCCCGCCTCTGCTGCCCAGACCCCACGGTTAACGCCGGGCACATGAGCTTCTACATGCGCTATCAGGTGCACACATCTCTAGGTATAATTCGTATATAGACGCACATACATAGACTATTCTTCGGTGTAAAATAAGGAGCAGAGCGGAGGCACATGCCAGCGGGCAATGCTTCTTTCAAAGCAAGAGTTTTCCCATTCCTGCCCGCCTCTGCTGCCCAGACCCCACGGTTAACGCCGGGCACATGAGCTTCTACATGCGCTATCAGGTGCACACATCTCTAGGTATAATTCGTATATAGACGCACATACATAGACTAAACGCTCCGCATCGGTCATCCACTTGTTTCTTTTCCTCTGCGGTGAGCTAATGCAGAGAGAGGTGCAGGGGACGGGGGGCTTCGTGCACTCCATTTCGCAGCAGCAACAGTGCGTTTCTGAAGTAACGTGCAGGTTAAGAGCAAAAGCCCAGACCAAGAAGGTGCTCAAGAAAAAGATAATATTTTGAAGAGCTTCTCTGAGAAACAGCAGCACCGACAACAAAAAGTTTAAGGAACAAAAGCACCGAGAGAAACTCCGAAAGAACCGTGTCCTAGAGTCACATTATTAGGTCAGTAACACACTGAAATGAACTCAGCCACTTCAGCAACACCTTTGATATGAAGCAAAAAAGTCTGTTCCCTCCAAGATCCCAGGTGTGTGTAAGTTTGTCGCCTTCTAGTACGTTATTACTTGCCCAAATTTACTTGATCGAGAAGAAGGATTCCGGTGAAATCCACCAGAACAGATGGAAGTGAAGGTCTCATACCTTGCTTAGTTTTCTAAGCATTGCAACTATTCTTTTATTTAAAAAAAAAAAAAACCAAACAACCGCAAAAAACAAACACAAACCCAAACAAACAAAGCCACCACAAAAAAACCCCAACCTCATGTGTACATGCGCTTTATTCTTTTCCTGTACACTTTAAGGAGCCCCCGTATCGATGAAGCACTACTCTGAAGAACATGGGGAGTTCTCATCGAATGAATGCAGTAAGTCATACACGTTCACTAAAATCAGCTATGTAAATTAACTTGCTAAAGAAGCACAACCTACAAACTAATTTAAAATTACACGGAAAGTCCCACTGTTTTTAACGAATAGAAATATAACTCAGAAAACAGCAGCCATCGTATTCAGATTTAGTTGTTAGCGTGAGATATGGAGCTAGCCAGTAAAAACAGACCTAAGTATCGTTAGTCACTTGGTAAATATTTTTAGAATATACATTTTTAACTTTTTTCCATTTCTATACGCCGGCTCAGGACAGTGGATTCATATTGTCTTTCGTAGGTAGTGCATTCGGCCATTTGTAAATGTCTGCTTCTTAATGTCTGTGTCATTGTAAAAAAAAAAATACAGATTTCCCTCTTCCCCCTCCCCCTGACAAAAACCTTTACATCGAAGATTAAATGTCACAGTTAACGTTTTCATCTCTAGGTTTCCCAAGAAATTTTCTGCATAGTAAGTTGTTTTAAGCATCAAAACGAATTTCAGTTTCTTTTTACATCAATACATCTTATTCACCGTCTTATTTATATAGCTGACCAGAAGCCTTCGAGAGAAAGACATAGGATATAGAAAACTTTGACCTTACCTGCTCCCTAATGTGCTTGCAGCCAGAAAAAAAAAAGAAAAAAAGAAGTCATTTCGTATTATTCACCACTTTGCCAGAGACGGTAATCTCTCTACCTCATAGGAACAGCCGTACTGGGCCAAATCTCTGTACACATTTGATACATATAAACAGTATTACCATTTACTTAGGGTTTGGAGGGGTTTTTTTCCCCTGAAGGGGATCATGAGAGGAACAACGGGCCAGACAGGAAAAAAAATATTTCTCAGCTTTGCTCCCGACACGGCCATGAAAGGACTGAAATTCTTCAGAAGTCACTCAGTCTTTACCTCTGGGTCCCCTTTGTAAAAGCAGCCGTCACGACAAGTTGGACCGGGGCTGCCTTCCCAGCGAGGCCCCTCTACCTGCGCTCCGCCACAAAACTCCTAAAATACTTTTTTTGCTCCCCCCCCCGCGGTGGAAACTTCTCTTGGAGACAAATCTTGGTGTCATCTCAGAGCT